GTCATTTATGTACTTCTGTGCATGCAAAAGAGATGCAGCCATGGGCAATTCTAATATATCTGTCAAGTATAGCTGATTTCAGACTATTTTAAATCTGTAAAGTTCTATAACATTCTGTGCTTGATTCTCCAATACTGAAATAGAAAAAGACTTTTGGTTTAAACAGAAAAATGGTATCTGTTTATTGTTAATAAGTATTGGTGTAATTTAAATCCTTAGAGTAATAATGGAAAGCAGATAAGGCACACTGCTAATTGAGCAGCTCTAGAAATGAAATTTGCATTTCACACTAAGCCCAGCATCTTTAAAAAGTTCTTGGCCTTACATAGAGTGTAGAATTGGATATGGTTCTATAATTCTTATGTGTAATCTTGTATATTTGGTCTGAAACCTTTGAGTATACACCCACTTGAGGAATTAGCACTAATAATGAAAAGTACAGATAGGCTGGGGCCCTGGAGTACATAAGACATGTCTTAGTATCATCTCAGCTTAATCAACCTGTGGCAAAGAAGAAACAATGATTTCTATTTCTAAGCAAATACCTTAATCAATCTATATTAGCTTTCCGTTTAACTTACTTTGAACTTTTCTTTCAGTTACGAGCCAGAGTTGTTTCCTGGTTTAATATACAGAATGATCAAACCAAGAATTGTACTGCTTATATTTGTTTCTGGAAAGGTAGTTTTAACTGGTAAGCCATATTTCAAATTACTGCACTGATTGTAGCAAACTGAAAGGTACCAAAGAAAAATTTCAAATGGGTAACGACTTAACAAATCCAAATATATTAATTTGTTGGCTTGTGCCTTTCTTGTGCTTTATACTATACTGTTTGGGTGCACTCTTTATTATTTTTATTTGTAGTGTTAATGTGTCACAGCAATTAATTCTGTTAATGTATCTTTAAAGACCACTCAGATACTACAGTTGGTACAAAATGCAGCCCCCTCATGTGCTAACTGGTGCTGGATGCCATGAATATATTATTCTTATGCTGCAGGCCCAGCCTTGGTTGCCTGTAAATTTCCAAGTGCAATTTAGAATGCAAGCTTTGTCTGATGGTCTTGTATGGCTTGGTGCTACAGAACCCGTGGGGCTGCCTCTTTCAACAGAATCTGTTTGTTGGTAGCTTCCCACTACCATGAAATTGAGAAGGAAGTGCTTCTCTATTATGGCTCCTGTTTTGTGGAATAGACTTCCACCGTAGGTCAGATTTGCCCCAACTCTGTGGGCCTTCTGGAAGCAGGTTAAAAGAGAGCTCTTCCAGAGGGCTTTTTGACTAGTGCCATAGAATTGTTCATATATTTCTCCAGTTTTAAACTAATGTTAAGTATTGTTTTATCATCAGGTAGTGATGAGGACATGAGTTATTGTCACAAGGTCCTCCTGCTTCAGATAGGACTGCAGCTGGTGCATCAGCTGAGCAAAAGCTCTATGAATTCAGTTCACAGGCTTGAATTATGAGCAATTTCCACATATACAGTCTGTTACCACATCTTAAGAAAAACAGACAACTAAAGACATTGGTAGCCACAGAATCTCTGTAGTATGTATGTACATAGTGGTTAAATATATTCGTATTTCTTTCTAGGTGCAAAAGTCAGAGGTGAAATTTATGAAGCATTTGAAAATATTTATCCTATTTTAAAAGGATTCAGAAAAACAACGTAACAGTTCCATGTGCTTATTCATGAAGCTGGAGCACATTTTAAAAGGTATTGATTATGGCACAGCGGTAAAACACACATCAGGACTTGGAATATCTTCCCAGATAGTGCCTGTTTCCGTTTTTCACGGGAAGGGGATATATCATTGTGTGTTTCGTCTGCACTGAGTCACTGTGCATTGCTTCACCATGTTCTCATTGGAGAAATAACTGAGCTTATTTATATTTCTGGCTCTTAAAATGGATAATTTTTAAAATCTGAAAAGCTTATGCTGGCAAGTTGGCTAAACTGTATTACCCAACATTTAAAACCTTGGGGTTATTTACAGTATTCTTTCAACCGTGGATTTTATAACCAGAAACTTTAATTTTATGCTTTTAGACCTACTTCCACATTCCCTATATTTCCAGTGTTCAGCAGGACAGAAACTTTGCTAGCGAAGACAGATGGCTGTATATATTTCTCATTTTGTGAAGCAATTCTAAATGTATAATTAACAGTTTATGAAACTTGACTAAATAATTTGATAGTAAAACTTGTGATCAATCTTTGCTTTTGCTGTTTTAATGTGCTAACTGCATGCGTATAGCTTAAACATCTTGATTTTTATAAGATTTTTCTTAACAATCCAGTATTAAAGTAATGTTTTGCCATTTAAGTTATTTCTGTGTTGTTTCTTAGTAGTGACTTAGCCTGAGGTCCTTACCTCCAAGAGGACTTAGAGCTATAGGATTTTTTCCTTCCAATATTAAAGGGGGAAGAATATGTTAATGATAGAAAAAGCTTCGGAGATCCATTCCTTCCACTATCCAAAAAAAAAGAAAATGAAGCAGGCCAGGTGCTGTACTTGGAGGGGACATGAATTCTGTATATCCAAAGCCCTCATGTCAACCTACCCTACCTGCACTACTTTATTTCTGTTGGTTTGGGGCAGGGGGGGATTTATGCACATTTAAGTGCCAGAGACAAAAACATTTCTTCCTCACCCCTCCCCTATTAGCAACTAGGTGAATTTCAGCAGATCAGATAGAATGTTCTCCTCAGATATCTATTCTTCCTTTGAAGTCCCTTACAATGTTCAGTTCATGTAGTAAAGGAAGAGGTTTGAGCCATTCAGTACCAAAATAGACAAGAATTTTATTACACTTCCACAATTGGGTGATCTCCATCTTACAATTTTAGTGTGCATTGAGCTACAATTTCAGTAAACTATAAGGAATGTCAGAGCACAGCCAATAAAAGGATAGGAGGTACTATATTCAGAAATATACCTGGCAGTGTTTCTTTTAAAATTTTATTGAATTACATTGTAAACTACCATTGAAATTTAAACCTCAAAAGCAAAGCTTCCTATCCATTTGTACTTCAAAACTCATCCCATAGGTTTATTTCCACTGTACTGACAACTAGACATTATTTATTTTGTGACTTGCCAGCTACAAGCCAACCAATTTCCTAATGAAAACAACCTTGTCCAACACAATGTATGTGAAGATTCTAGATTCTGAGTGAATGCCCTGTCAGATATGAATGGCATATGCCAGCCAACATACTGAAGAGTATTGTTAAAAAAATCATGCTTTGTTTGCCTTTTTACTAACCTATGTATGTTTCAGAGATGCTAATCCTTCTATTTCCATTTCTCATCAAAGGAATTAAAGGATCAGTACCTGGATGGGATAATCCCACTCTAATATTCCATAGTTAATCTATGAATTCCATATTTCTAATTTCCTTCCACACCTGGTTTTACCAGAGCTTTCCTGGTTTCTTAAATCTTATTTCAAAATAATTAGTTTTCCTTTGAAGCAGACTATATTACCATTACTTACATTCCACTTCAGGATACAAATCATTCTAAGGCAGCATCCAGAATGAAGAGCACAGTAAACAGTAAGTGCTGAGGATCTTCCCCACAAAGCAACTGATGGTCATGGTTATGGGATAGGAAGAGACAGCTCACCTGGAGCAAATTCTGAAAGGATCTTTGCCTGCCTTGCCTCTCTTCTGGGATCCTTCACCAAGGGTGGCAGTGGGAATGGTCTCAGGAATGGATGGAGGAAAGCAGACAAGGGAAATCAGAGTTCATTTATCACTTCTTTATTATAGTGAATCACAGTCTATTATGAGTTTGAGAATGGTGAGCATCGTTGTCAGTTTGAATATAAAGGGTGAGAAAAAAATGATGCAGAAGAAAATTATCTTACTGTTTAAGTTCCACAGAAATTAAACAGAATTGGAAATGTCCTGCTTCCAGATGAACTCTTCAGCATAGTGGTTGCCTAGATTACAATTCTCAGCACATGTGTAGATAGCCAGTATTCCCCAGTCAATGCTTTCTCCAAGACTGTCAACGTTTAAGTGAGCTAGAAGCTGTGGCATAACCTTAAACATACAAAATATTTTAAGTGAACTTTTAAAACAAAATGATCAAATCACTTTAATCTATAACCTGCAAACTAAGTGATTAAATCGTATTACCAATGTCCAAGAGAAAAGTAGGCAGAGAGAGAAAGTGTGTTAAAATTCAGCTCTACTGCCCTTTTATGTGCACTTTTGCCATATGACCATACCTGGAATTCAAATACTCTTTTACTACCACACTGACAGTGGGGAATATCTGTGTCCTGAGGAATATTTATCCCTGAAATCCAGATGGGCCCTTCTCCATTTCTGCAGTATCTGATAACCTGAAATTCAAGAAGAATCATGGAGTTGAAAATAAAATTATGCAGACTTTGTAGGAGCATATATCATATGAAATAAGAGAAATGTCTTCTAGTTTCTGAATGGACAGGATTAAAGAACCTTTTAGCAAATGCCCATTTCTATGTACCATGTAATTACATACTAAAGATGCAGGATTTTATGAAGTATGCTTCCACTACAGTGAGAAGGGTAGCACAGCACTAAAGAGCCTTTATGCTCATATCTTATCTGTGATTCTCCCATCCATATCCCATCATTTTTCTAAACTGAAAAGTCCTAAACATTGCAACTTAGTTCTTCAACCTACCATTCCAACAAATTTAGGCCCAAACTTCCAGATTTGGATTTAAAAAGAAAAGTTGACTAAAACTCTCTGCCCACTGTTTCAAATGTGGTTGCAGGACAGTTTGGTAGAAAGGCATTGAGACAGTTTTGGTTCCTTTCAAAATGAATCTGTTTGCAAGTATGGTGATCTTGTGGCCTTCCAGATGTTACTGAGCTATTAACATCCAGCAGCTAAGGTAGTATAGTCTCTAATGACTGATGCTGAGATGTATAGTTCAGCAACATCTAGAAGGTCATAGTTCATCAATCCTGATGTAGCTTGGAATTAGTTTTCACAGCTGCCATTTGGTTAATATTTTTATTCAGCCATCCACCAAAATTCCTGGACCTTTTTCCTGGAAGGTCACTGCCAGCTCAGACCTCATCATTGTATATATAGCATATGCATTGGAAGAGACCTTACATGTTATTTAGTTCAACCCTCTGCCCAGCCCAAGAATCCATTCAACATTTCCAGCAAACAGCCATTCAGCCCATTTTAGAACCTCAAACAAGGGGATGTCCACCATTATTCCAGGTTTGAAGCTCCTTTTCATTTCAACCTTTTGGTCTACCCTCTCCTGCACATAACAGCCTGTGAGATATTTGTGACTATTAACATCTCTACCTTCTGTCTTTTGGCAAATTAAATACGCCCAGCTCCTTTAACTGTTTCTCATGAAGCTTGGTATCCAGATCATCTTGGTGGCTCTCCTCTAAACCTGTTCTAGTTTCTAAGCCATTGTAAAGGGTTAATAAGTGCATCACCATCTTGCATTCTATCTTTCCGTGTGCATGGCTTAACAGCCGAAGATGAAACTTGTATCACATGAACCTGGACCATCTGCTATTATCTATCTGCAAAAACCATACTTTGAAACCAAAGCTTTTGGGTTTTAAATTCCAATTTCTGCAAATGGAAATGACAGCCAGTCCAAGTTTGCATGATTCATATGACTTCCTTCCCTGGTGAAAGAGTCACAACACAATTGAAGGATGAGGCACAGTATGCACACATTTGTTAACTTTTTACATTGACTTAGCATGTTGTGAATATAGCCTTTGTCTTTTAGTATTTCTGTGCAGAACATTACTAATGGCTCTTTCCTAATCTGGCCCTTAATTCCCAGCATTCAACTCTTCCACTCAGGTTTCATTTAATCTGTTACCTGTCCCCATCTCACATCTAAACACTTCAGTAGCACAAAGTAGGAAAGGAATTTGAAGTGACAAAATTCTGGGCTAGATTATTCATATACCATTCCCATAGTAATAACCCAGTGTAAAGCATTAATGGACATGAAACATGCATTTAAAACACCTGTTCTGGTTCCAAAGATATTCTTTCCTTGAACATTTGAAAAATTCTATCTTCTTGAGTTTCATGTTTTGCCATTGTCTCCAAGGACAACTCTTCTAAGAATTCAGAAGCTTCATCTGGAAAAAAAAGTATTGTGTTTAAATTGTAACACTGCATTTTTGTAAAAAGGTTTTATTGGTTTAGTCTGTCAGGGATGAGTCAGTATTTATGAAATTTGAATTAAAGAAAATTCCTATCAACAAAGAGCAGTACTGTGTTCATCTTAGAAGCCTGCAAAAAAAAAAGGGGGGGGGAGGCAGGGAATGAGATTTGCACTGTGCAGGGCAAGAGTGCAAATTGATGTTACAAGCCTATGTGACACAAGAGTTTCCTCTTTTTACCTGAACGGGGGTAGGAGAATTTGGTGGTGCCCTTTTAAACCACTGCTAAATCCATTTTAGGGCTTCTGTTACAGTGGTGTGTATTTTCCATGTCAAAATGGGGGGAAACTGAGCCAGATGTTTTTAGCAATTACACTCCAATAGTTACATGTCTGATTCTCAGGCTAACCCTTGCTTTAAAGCAAATTCTAACTAAAAAAGCTTACAATTTTGAAAAAGAGCTCTGTCATTTGGAAGCCGAAGTGCAAATCTATACATTCTTTAAGGCAAGATATATTTCAATTTAAAATAAATGTTAATTTAAAAACAGCCTTCAAATATGGACATTCATTCACACTACTTACCTAGATTACCCGTAGTCGCTGCTTCCTCATTTTTGTCTAAATCCTCCTGCTCTGTATAACTGACAGCAGCAGAATCTAATTCCTCGTGCTCTCTTACAATTTCATACTCGGGGAACAGAAATTCATGATCCGGAATTACAATATTCATATCTTCTACAAAACAAGAAGCCAGTATCTTCATTTACTTTCTCCTAGATTTTATCATTATACATTTGACAGAGAGAGGGAAAGAGAGACAGGAACTTTCCAGAGACCTCCACCCCCTGGTTCTTCTCTACTTACAGTGATATTTACTATATACCATGGTTTTAGCTTAACAAACTGTACATATACAGCCTTAAACAGACAATTTCAAATGGAGCTTTTTACAGTATCTTATCTATTCACTCCCTCTCTCAGCTGCTTTTTGCACTTCTATTTCTGGGCTCACTTCAATCCCAGGGAGGTGAATGAGAAGAGGGTAAAATAACATGATTCTGAGATTCCAGCATCTTTGTCAAGCTGTCTTTGCTGGCATCTGATCTGTTCTCCAAAAATGACAGTCCTTTCCACCAAATAGTTTGCTTATCAGATCTCTCTGAGTCCTGCTTATTCCTGCTAAATCTCCTCCTCCCTGACGTATACAGTATTGCCAGTCTACACCATGCTCAACAATATCCTCCTCCTCTACTCAATGTTTCTGCCCTTTAGAGTTAGGAGGCAGATGTTTTAATTAAGCCTGAAGCTTC